GTCAGTAATTTCGAAGATGGCCAGAACTTATGTTTTTGCTGGGTGGCGTTGCTCCTACGTGTTGGCGAACCTTTTTTTATGATCCCTATAATCAATTTGGGTCCAGCAGTAGACTGATCGTTAAGACACGGTTCCCAGCAGATCACCGAAGTCAAGCATCACTGGCTGTGCTCAGTGTGCGGGTGGGTGACCACTTAGATCAGTCTACGTAGGGACCGAGGGTGTGCGGTATGGGTCCTCGTTAACTTGTTCTACCGTAAAATGTTTGACTTCGCGTGCAGGTCGTCGGGCTACCGAAGCGGGGGTGCCATCCCCTCTGCAGAGGATCAAAATTGTGATGGCATGTCTTCGGCTCATCCTCAGGGATGTTTTCCAGACCGTCGCCAATAGCCCATTATGCAGCTCTCTAGTGCGACGTAAATGAACTACAACAACTATATTTGTTCATGACAAAAAAAATGCTTTTTTTCTTTGGAAATATTATTACTGAGACAGTGGTTGAAAACTTCAAAACCCAGCTCGCCCTTACTTAAAACATTCGCAAAAATGTTACTTTCGGCTCAGAACTACAGTTTACCAACCACTGATCTCGTTAAACTGAGATAACTTAATCTACAAGTTAATATTCTAGCTGCATAAGTTATAACTTAGTTCAGTAAGTTAAAAATAATTGAAACCAAGAATTGCAGATTTTTGCAGATACTGTTGCAGATTTTTTTTCTTCCTTTTAGCTTATAAATTTCAAACTAAAAAAAGTTTCAATCAAAGTTCAAAATCTGAATAATTTTTTTATTAAAAGCATCGAATCTTAGTGGTTTGAAGGGCTCAAATAAGTTAACTAATGAAAGTTACGACATAAAAACCGTGGATCAGAAAGGTTCTAGGTTCGAATCCCGGGCAAACAATGGATGTTCTTTCATTCTCTGTACTATTGTTCGCTCGCCAGGAGTTGGACAAAGAGTTCATTTCAGTGCGGGAGTAAGAGGAGAAACGTCTCTTCGCTCGAATTTGACACAACTCTTATTGCGCGCTTAACGCAAACAGTGAATTATTTTTCAATCTCTCACTTCGCTTTATCATCTGCCATTATACCTTTCGTTACTCTAGCTACTTAAATAAGTAAGATTCGAGTGAAATCGGTCCAATAATTCCTGTGAAGTCGAATTTTAAATAGACGATTGTTTTAGCATTCGATTTTTCAGAAACCATTCAGTTTACTTAAGAGAATTAAAGGTCTTTAGATGAACTAATTTTATAATTGTGCGCAAAAATTTTTCATTTCGCTCCTAAAGTTCCCGAGTTAAAGTGAAAAGCGCAGAAAGTAAAATTGACATTAATAGGTCCAAACTTTGGTCCGCTCTCCTGGCCAAACTATTTTGGTCATATTTCTCATATTGCAGCAACCCCCTATATTTTGCGGGTCAGAAATCCAAGTCCGTAGGAAACGAAAGTTTGTTTATTCAGATAAAGTGCGTTTTTGAAATTAAGGTTGAAGATCCGATTATTAGATCAAAAGTTATTCAGAGTTTCTTTTTTTCGTATTTACAATCCTTTTAGCGTTGCAATTATTTCACTGTAGTATGGTAGAAATCGTTTCTCACGGGGCAGACGAATGTGGGGGTCAACATAAAACATTGACTTGAAAATGTGTGAAAAGTAATAAAGAACAAGGTTCGTAAGCCCCTGGAGAAGAAAAAATTGTTATAAGGAAACAGAAAATTTCTTAATTTTAGCTTTCACTATTGAAATAAAATTTCAGGTCTGCTTTCTTCGGATCAATATATTTACTTTCTATATTGTAAATATATATACTATCTATAAATTTATTATATAGAAAATAAAATATTCTGGTAGTTTCAAATATCATATTATAAAAAATTAAAAAAAATTATAATATACAAAAATTTTAAATTTACAATAAGTATAAAAAATTTCTTGAAGCGATTACACACCATAATTTCAACATTTTCTCCAACTAATGTATAAGAGCCGTGATTGCTCAGAGAATAGAGCGTTCGTCTTCCATGGAGGTGTTCGTGTTCGAATTCCAGCAATGGCTGGCCGAAACGAACTCCGCATCCGGCTTTACCCGACCACAGAGCTAACGCAAAATATATTCAGTGTAGACGGATCAAGAGTTAAAATCCCTTTGCCCTCATGGTGATCCTAACCCATAATTAGAGCGTCTGAGGTTTTCGAGGTTTTCCTCTACATGTAACCCAAATGCGGGTTAAGTGCATTAAAAAGTCCTCCACGAAGCCCAATTTTTCCCAATACTTGATACAAGAGTTCCTTTGTCTTCTGGATTGGGTTCAAAATTACAAGGATGCGGAGTTGAACCCCCCCCCCCCAAAAAAAAAAATTGAGTCGGCTTTTCAACGACGGTTATGAAATTTTTAAAAAAACTGAAGCATAAATATCAAACGGGATCGGTCCCGCAGTGGATTGATCGTTAACATACGGTTCCCAGCACATCACCAATGTCAAGCATCACTGGCTGCGTTCAGTGTGCGGGAGGGTGACCACTTGAATTAGTCTGCGTAGGAACCGAGGGTGTGCGGTATGGGTCCTCGTTAAACTGTTCCACCGAAAAGTGCTCGACTTCGCGTGCAGGTCATCGGGCTACCGAAGCGGGGGTGCCATCCCCTCTGCAGAGGATCAAAATTGTGATGGCATATCTTCGGATCATCCTCGGGGATGTTTCCCAGNGTACAGAGATATTCCCGCAAAAAATAGCAAATAGAAAAATACGTAATCGTAAATTTTCATGGCTAGCTTTGTTTTTAAATAAGTTTGTTTGAAAGTTTCGTTTATTGCAAGATATTTCGCATAAGGACACGTACCCTCGCTAAACTGTTCCCGTACCCCTGGGGGTACGTGTACCACACTTTGGGAAACACTGCCCTGAGCCATCGCGGCTCAAGAACGAAGGAATTCGACAATCTCGCCTTTTTAGAGGCCGGGATAGCCTGTCTGATAGGGCACTGGTCCCACACTTCCCGTGCAGTTAATGGTGACTGATGTAAGTTAAATCTGTCCAGTCACAAAGTCCTCCATGCTCCCATAACAAATCAGTCCTCTGGGGTGATCCAGGGTTTTTCTTGTCTTCTGGATTGGGTTCAAAATAACAAGACTACGGAGTTGAACATTAGTAGTCGTAAGCCTAAAATTGGGTCTTCTGTTCAACGACGGATATGCAATAAAATAAAATCTCGCCTTTTTAAAGGAAAGTGCAACAGTTGGATTTTACTGGGAATAAATTCTTGTATTGTTTAGTGGTGTTACAATTCAGTTGTTTCTGGGTTTGTAGTGAATGGTATCAATTTTTTTTAAAATAAAAAAACAACTTTTGAAGCAATTAAAAATAAATATTGCCTTAGTACTTTTTTTTATCATTGATATGAAGCGTTTTAAATATAAAAATCCTATCTAAATATAAATTATTAATGAACAATTTGTGTTGAATTAATTTGATTAGACAGCTGCTTTCATCCAAAAATGAAAAAATAATGAATTTATAATATGTTGGTAAAAACCAGTTGGAACTGGTTTCATGCAGACTGAACATTGTTTTCGGAATAAATTACACAAACGGATTTTTTTCATTTCATTTTTATGATCAATGTACTGCTGACTTGTGGCTGTAAAGAGAGGAAAATGTAAACAGAATCGAAGACATTTGGAATATATCCAGAGTTTATACGCACGTTCGAATACTTTTTTTTTTACCCTTGATCTTAATTCATTAAATAAAAAATTAAGCAAGCCGCCTTAACTCTTTATTTATTCTATTTGTACTTCCCTCATATCCATAGTCACTTAGACTGATTAACGTCCGTTTTAAGCCTTCAGGATGATCTGAATACCAAATAGCCGCCTTGAACGATGCTGCTGATCGGCCTTCCTTTTATAATCTCGTCTTGGAATATGCCCCCTTCTGGTTATACGTCTTCTCAAGAACACGTGATAAAGACGTGGTTTACAGCATTTTGTTCTTTATTTATCGATTATAAAATCTCAAGCGATGTCTCAATTAAATTTGGGAGTTATTTAAACAAACAGAAATTACATAACAGGATAATTTAAAATCGCTTTCGATTAAAAAATAAATAAATAATTACTGTGATTAGAAAATCGTTTGCGAATTAAAAAAAAATATTTATTGTGATTAAAAAATCGTTTGCTGAGAGAAATTATTTTCCTTTTGTGTTAATGTTATTGTGTAGACAAATTCCTTATTTTTAAAAACGAGAGTAATTTCTTAAAAAAATTAATTTAAAACCGTTACCTTTCCGAGTAACGATATTTTCCTGATAATGGCTGCCCTTCCATATTTTGGGGATCAAAAACTACAAGGTATGGGGGGGAAGGTATGGCAATTCAGAGAAAGTACGTTTTATGTGTTTGATTTCGTAACTTTAAATGCCGCCTAAAACTAATTTGTTAGTCTATTTATCGTTGGGTCCTCAAACCATTAAAATTAAATCTTAATAAGTACATATCCACCATTATTATATCAAGAAATGCTCGCTACTTTTCTATTATGCGCATTAAAAAACAACATTAAAGGGGAAGGTGGATGAAATATAAAAATAATTATGGCAAAATCCTTTGTTAACTGGAGTTTAAAAATGAATTCTATGGGTCCACAAGATAGCCCACCTAAAAAAAGAGCCTCAAAACTACTTTAGGATTAAATTAAGGTTTAAAACATGAGAAAAAATGTAACAGTTGGTGGAGACTTGGTAGTCGAGATTCCAATCAAGGAAACTGGGTGAGCTCTCATACCCGACCCAGTTCTTTATAAAGGCAGCTGGGTGCTTAAATTACTGGGTACAATCATTAAGATAGTATATGCAATACTGTCTGTATAAATAGTTGACTCTTTAATTCGAATTCAAGAGATACTGCAAAAACGTCAGAATTATCACAATAAGTACACCTTATTACAAGTACTGCTGTTCATATCTGAATTATTAATGAAACGATTTTTATTTTAGGTCCATTGGCCGGTTTTCTAACTCACTACTTCAGTATCCGGAGTATTTTAGTGAGCGGTGTCCTAGTATCCGCTGTAGCGATTGCTGCCTGCTTCTTCACTCCGTCCCTCATGTTCCTCATCATCTTCTTTGGACTCTTCAGGGGTGAGTTGTTATTTTTTTTTTTTACTTCGAATCCGCCCCACTTCCGAAACGAACAAACAAATGCTTTATTATTGTGGCGCTTTTGAGTACTAGTGGCGTTTTTGAATAATTTTGGTGATTTTGAATAATTTTTAAATAAAGGATAAATAGAAGTCTTACTTTTAACTAGTAACATTTTATTATTTAAACAATTTAAAAAATAACATTAATATAAGGATATACAATTAATTCAACTTATTTATACATTAATTCTTACGTGCTTTTAGAATAGATGGAGAGAGACTTACCAAGTTTAGTCATGGTTCGGCCTTTTGTCACTTAGGCTGATTGCTTTTGATTGCTTTTGTGTGATCGCCTTGAACCCTTTCCTTCGGCTGCTTTTATATCGTATTTTTCGGGTGATAAAAAGTTACAAATCTGAGGAAAGGTCAAGTTCAAAAGTCATTGTTGTTTTCGAGTTTGTCCCGTGATGGGTCAATCACATGATGGGGGTGACATTGTAAGATTTAAACCTAATCGTTTATTTGAATTACTTTATCCGTATTTAACTTACTATTTGCCGATGGAGATTTCCCACAGTAGTTTTATTTAATCGAAGACTCTGAAATGTTCTAGAAATCTAATCTTAGCCCTTTCTCTTAATTTTAATTTTGAGTGACGATAAGCGTCACATTATTTCGAAAGTCTGTATGGATAGCTAACCATTTAAGGACTGATCGTAAAGACACGTTTCCCAGCTCAACACCGAAGTCAAGCATCACTGGCTGATGTCAGACCACTTTGATCAGCCTGCGTAAAGACCAAGGGTGCAAGGTGTAGGTCCTCATTAAACTATTTTACAGTAAAGTGCAGGTCGTCGGGCTACCAATGCAGGGGAGCCATCCCCTCTGCAGAGGATTGAAATTGCGATGGCATGTTTTTGGATCATCCTCAAGGATGTTTCCCAGACCGGCACCAATAGCCAAATTGTACAGCTCTTGTGCGACGTTAATAAAGTACCTACCATAAGAGACACCATATCCACACCCATTTTACAGCAGGGTTTTCTCTTCTGACATAATCAAAAGATAAATGGTGATAAATTAAATGTTTTTTAGGAATCGAAGAAACATTATTTACATTAAAATCATTATAATCTACATACAGAGTGTTCTAAATTAGACCTATGATATTTCATATTTACATAACTGAAAAATAAGTCTCAAGGAAACAAGGTCTGTCCTCTCATAGAGTATCTGGTTTTAGTTCAAATATATTTCAATAGACAGCGCAGCATCTAAATAAAAGAAATATTCTTCGGAATGAAAATCACGTTTAATCAGCCTTAAAACAAGCAAAAGAATAACTAACTCACTGTCATAAACTCTTATTTAACTCAACAAATGCATCAAACCGGAAAGAAACTTCAGTCTTGAAGAGGAAATATTTATGGTCAACACATAAATTCGCTCTTATTTTTATCTATATCGTTATTTAGTTATAAATGCTCGAAAACAGTCAGTATAACTAAGGAGAACATTATAGTTCATGTTACGTCAAAAATAGTCTATCCCTGAAATTCCTTTGCTAGAGAATTAAAAAAAATCAAGAATAAATAAGTTAATAATATCTATGATTACACAAAAAATTAAAATTTAATTGAACAATAAATTTAATTCTCTTCTTCTCTCTTTTTTTTAAAAAAAAAATATCAGCATGGAGTTCAATGAACTTTAAAGTCGAAAGAATTACCTGAATTTAAATACAAAAAGTCTAATTAATTTTTTTTTTAGTTTATTCCAGATTTGGGTAAAAACTTAATCGATTGCAGTTATCAAGTACTCGTTATAATGATTACAAGTCATATTTTTGATCACATCTGTAATCGGAATTACAACAATGTATAACAGTAATCAATAACAGTAGACAATAACTTAAAGTCTTGATTAAAATTCACCATAATTTTGATTTCAACAGTCGTGATTATACATAATTGTGATTCCAAGTAATCAGAACAAAAAAGGATTACGGGTAATCATAAATCATAACTACAAATAAACAAAATTTATGATAATCTTTAACCATGTGATAACGTACGTACGTACGTAAATACAATTTGCATACATATGCAATATTTGCATGTATGTATGTATATGTAGAATGCGTATGTACATATATATACTATGGGCCCAAATAAGGTTCGTACGTATGTACATAATGTTTGCATGTGCGTATACGTGTTCAATATATGTATGAATCTACGAATGTAAATAAAATGTAGGTATGTATACGTACATAATTTTGTATATACGTACATAATTTTGCATATACGTAAGTATGAGTGTATGCTAAAGGAATGTTTTGTATGTGCGTATGCATAGACAATATATGTATGTACGCTTGCGCAGATAATATATATATATATGTATCCAGCGATGACTGGGCGATACGAATCCCGCATCTTCCTTGCACTAACCACAGTGCTGACGTAAAATGTCCTCAGTGGTAGACGGATCATGGGTTAGAGTCCCTTGCCTTTAAACTATCGGTGGAAGGTTTAACCGAAAAATAAAGCCGGAGTTGATGTAAGTTAATTGAAAATAAACGAAACGTAAGATTTGTTTTAAAAAAGTTGATAATTGTTTCAGTTGGTAGATCACAATATGACATAAACGCTATGGTTGATCAGAAGCTTTCAAAGTTTGGAGATCACGGGCTTAAGGCTCTTTTAGAATTCTCCGTCGTCTTCTGAAATGACGTTTTATTCTGAATAATATGTTATTTTCATAACTGCTGTGAGTTTACAACAGTTGGCTGTTAGGTCACGTTTAGCCTATCTTTAGCCAGCTCTGTCTATGCTTAGTTTGAAAACGTCTCAAAACGTCAATAGGGTGAAAAACCACAGTTTTGTGAAAGTGAAATGTGTTTTGGGTCAATTTTTTTTAATATTTAAAAACTTACTACAATGCTGCATTTGGATTATTTTGCTAATACGCTTTCCTGTTATGGACATGTTGTTCATGTGCTTGCATTTTTATTTTTCTGAAGTATTTTAATTTCATGTTAATTTTATGTTACTATTAGTTATTGTCGAAAGTTTCATTAAAATCGACTTTGTTTTATCGTAATTTAACTGTTAGTCGCCGAGACTATACCTATTTGAAAGCAGTTTTTGACAATAATTATTCGAAAACAAAAAGATTCATAACATTTAATTAAGAACTGTTTTCAAATAACATTATCTGATAACTGAAAAGAATTTTAAAAGTGAAGAAGACAAATACACTATTTTGGAACTACAAATATTGTTTCGTAGGGTGCAAATATAAATTTCATTAGATTAGCATATCAATAGGCGTAAACACCTTATATAACTGTTGTTCCAATGATCACGTACTAACTCCAATGATCACGTGTTGATGATAATGATGGTAATTACTTATTGAGAAGTTACGGAATCTGAAAAAACGTGAGAATAACAAATTACCATTCAGTTCGGCCAGTTTTTCGAAAATAAAGTATTATTTTTCGTTTGAAATCTTCTCTTTTAATGCTCAGATATGTTGGCTCTTTTCGAATCGTTCAGTGAGTTTATTTACACACTATTTATTTTTCAGGTATTGGCAACGGTCTTGTTGTAACTCTCAATCCAGTCCTCATTCACCAACACTTCAAGTATAGGAAAGCCGTAGCTACTGGTATAGCCTATGCCGGAGCATCTGTCGGATCCTTCGCCCTTCCTCCTCTCATCGAATATTTATTAGCTACCTATGGCCTTAAAGGATGTTTTCTGGTCCTAGGAGCTGTCATTTTAAATGGACTTGTGCCCGCTTTTATGGCCAGAGCGCCGCCACAGCCAACTACTCAGCCAATTTCTGCCAAAAAAAAGTTCCTCAATGTAAGACTGGATTTCTTAGAACCAAAAGTCATTAATGGAAAAGAGTCGAGGCCGATTCCGCAGGTAAATAATGCATATCAACATACAAAATTCCTTAATACGTACAATTCTTAAAATCTGGGTTTTTTAAGTTATAATAATAACGCAAACTTTACTGAAATTTACGCGTTTCTACCCAGATAGCAAAATAAGGTTTATTTTCACTCAGCAAAACCTTTTAATGTAAACCTAAAAAGGTTTGTTAAGCGGTTTACGTGTAAACCTTGTAGTCTTAAAACGAGATCTGTGACCATCTGCTCTATTCTACACACATTAACCTTAATCCAAAACCTTTGAAAACAAACTTCTATATTAAAACCTTAAGTCGAGGTTGACTTAAGGTTTTCAAGCGTGAAACAATCCTTTCATAAAGCTAGTCTCAAGAAGGAAATAATCTTATATCTATAATAAAACTTAAATCTAGATACAAGGAGTGATCAAATGAAAAGGTACGAAACGACGTAAAAACGTAACAGTTAAATATTTTCATATTCCGCTATGGGAGAACGTAGCGAGACATCTCTGGATGCGATTGGAGTCTCTGAATGCGCATGCGCAGGAGAGAGCAGAGGCTCTTATCAAAAGCGGCGTCCAAATGATGCGGCAGTCCGTATGAGGACAGGATGGCGTTCGCTTTGCAAAATTCGACGATTGAGGAGCAGCGAGGTGTTATCCGATTTCCCGAGCACAGAATAACCATTAACTCCGAGGTGTACTGTTAGACACTTTGACGCCTACGCAGGTCCATCAAGAACAAAAGACCGTCGCTGCTCACGGAGGGTGTGGTTCTGCTCCCTGATAACGCGAGTCCACACGTCTCCATAGTCACACACATGGAACTGGCCAAGTTCAAGTGGGAGATGTTGGACCATCCGTCCTACAGTCCGGACATGTCGCCCTGCGATTTCCACGTGTTTGGTCCACTGAAGAAACACCTGAAAGGGAAGCGCTTCAACTCGGACGACGTACTCAAGGACGCTGTGAAGGACCGTGTCTCGTCACGGCCACAGTAATTCTGGGAACAAGGAATCCTGCGGCTTGTTCATCTGTGGGATCGTTGTGCTCAGGCCTATGGTGTATATTTTGAATGAAGTCTACATTTGTACCCACCGTGTCGTTTTGTACCTTTTCATTTGATCACCCCTTGTAATTATAAGATTTCTTTCCGCAACGTCTAGTATGCTCATCAGTTGAAATCTACCTTGCAGTGCAATTTTAATGGACAATGCAATTGGACACAATCGCTAGTGTGACGTCAGCTAAAACGTCATGATGGTCCTAAGTGACCCTTTTACCTCAGTCAATATACTTTTTAAAAAAAGCTTTANCCTACAGTCCGGACATGTCGCCCTGCGATTTCCACGTGTTTGGTCCACTGAAGAAACACCTGAAAGGGAAGCGCTTCAACTCGGACGACGTACTCAAGGACGCTGTGAAGGACCGTGTCTCGTCACGGCCACAGGAATTCTGGGAACAAGGAATCCTGCGTCTTGTTCATCTGTGGGATCGCTGTGCTCAGGCCTATGGTGTATATTTTGAATAAAGTTTACATTTGTACCCACCGTGTCGTTTTGTACCTTTTCATTTGATCACCCCTTGTAATTATAAGATTTACGACCATTATGACCATAATTATAAGATACGACCTTTTTAATGGGCGTTCTATAACTTGAATTTCAATCAGCATTTGGTATAACTTCTGCGTTTAATGACATTAAACTATTCAGATTGAAGGTTGGTAACTATTACTCTCGAATATGGTTTTCTGGAGTTTAAAAAGAAGATTCTATCATTCAAATGTTACGTTCCAGTATTTTGAACACAAAGTTTGTCAAGAAATACAAACACTCGTGGGGACACTATTCATGAATCTTGGTCGAATGAGCGACCCGACCAACCATTGGCCAAGATATGTCCCATATAAAATTCGCCTATATTTTTCAGTCAGGGTAGGACCTAACACGCATGTATAATGAAAAATCTTGAACGGGAAAAGCAGGACAGTTCTATATTTAGAGAAACTTAAAATCTAATGAGATCCTATCTTGTCAGATCCAATATGCTTTGCTGAATACAGAAATGACTTGTTCTATTATTTTAATAAAAGATTTCATCTAAAGTCTATTTTAAATATTCTGGGACCAAAATATGTTTTTGTTGTTGCTAGAAATGCGTATGTATTGCATTCAAATTAATTTAATTATAAGGATCTAAATCAAACAAAATTTCAAGGAATCATACATTTTTGTAAAGCTAGAGACTCAAATCAAAAAGAAAAATAGTATTTAAACTTACAACGCATTTAGGCGTCTCTTAAACATTTTAAGGGCTTAAGCGCTGATAAATTTAACATTTTCGATATACAGTGCCTGGCCATATTATTAGAAGCTCTCTAAGATTCTATGTAAAAATTATAATTATCAGTTCATACTATACAGCTGTATTGTTCTTACTCGGATTAAACTGGTTTGCATCTGTGCTTCTGTAGCAATGTGCTAACATTGTAATACAATACCTTAAAAATAAATACGAATTGGAAGTAAATAAAAAATCTGAATAAATACCCATTACATGTGTGTTTAAATATCAAAGTATTGCACATAAACTCGTGCAAATCACGTCATTATTAAAAAAACTACAGTGTTTCTAATAATTTGATCTAATTATTATACTATACTAATATAATGCTTGATATAATAAATATTCTATTATATATCGTCTAATTTTTCCAATCGTCAAATTTATATTATGTATCGTCTAATTCAACCAATTGGATACACTCACGTAAACAAGTGCTAACCGGTTTCAGTCGCGTAGAGACAATAAAGCTGTATAGTATCACCTGATAATTAAGATTTCACATAGAATCTTACAGTGCGTCTCATAATTTGGCCAGGGACTGTAGATTACTTCACATTTAATAGTTTTTGTCTTAAGCTAGTCACTCGTGAAGTAAATAGATGGTCATTTAAGCGCCATATCTATTTCCGATAAAGATTCAATTATATTGTTTTGTTTTGGAAGGATACAGACGATGCACCCCTGACAGAGACTCTCGTAGTGAAAAACGACACAACCGGTGACATCTCCAGACACCAAATCCTTATCGTGCCCTCCAACGGTCCCAGCCCAGAAGTCCAGAATGGAGACTACAAACTCATCCCCCATTCCTGTTCTGTCACATCCAGCCCCATCTCCCTCCTCCAGAAAATTAAACAGCGCGAAGACGGTATCTTCGGTCAGTTTCGCCACACTGCCCAGATCCTCACCAACCCCATGTATCTGGCCATCTGCATCACTTTCGGCTGCAACGTCGTCAACTTCATCGCCTACCTGACGGTCATCGTCGATTTCGCCAGAGACAGGAACATCGAAGAGACGGACGCTGTTTTCCTGGTGTCTGCGTTCTCTGTCGGCGATCTCTTCGGCGCTGTCTGTCTCGGCTGGCTCTCAGACTTCAAGTGGCTGAAGAGAAGCTACACTGTCATGATCAGCTACGCTGCTATGGGCGGACTCTTGCTCGCCCTGCCCAGCTGCGAGACTCACGCCCTCTTCCTGACCGTCTCCATCTTCATGGGGATTTTTAACGGGTGTGTGATGTCCAACATCCCTGTGGTGATGCGCGAGTATCTTGGACTCGAGAGGCTAGCTGTCGCCATTGGATTGGGTCATTTCTTTGTGGGTGTTGGACAACTGCTCTTCCCAATGCTTATAGGTAAGCATTTTGCACAATTATCTATTACATACCAACACTTAATAAATACTTATGTCTACCATAGCCGGTCAAATGGCCGGACTTTGCATTTCTTGATTAAATGTATGAAATATGGATGTAAGGAAGGAAATAAACTAAAAAAACTTTATTATAATTAAACAAAACTGTATATGGCCAATTTTTAGGTATTACGAACGCAAAGAATAAGAATTTTTAATTCATTGCTCAAGGCAATTTTTACACATACAGAGTGTTTCCATTGTACATTTTCCGCAAACACATTTCTTCTAATGATCATTATTTCTATAATTCTCATAATTATAAGAATATATAAGGATAATTATAATTCTTATAATTAATATTATTTCTTCTAATAACCTGTGCTGTCTTGATTGTTTCGACATTTTTCTGGGCAAAAACTAACAGTTGGTTAGAAATGAAGTAAAGCTATCAAAATAAAATATAAGCTACTAATATGCCAAAACATTTAATTATTTTCATTTTTTTCTTGCACAAAAATGCCTATCTAAAATGTTAGGTACTTTCTTGAAATTTGAATTCACAGTTATTCTGATTGAACTCACTACGCAACAGTCTTTTCAGAAATGTGCAACTCATCGAATGCAATACGTTGAACACGCATTACATCGTCATTTCTGTTCCGATAACCTTATAAAGCAATGAATTGTTCTCCCGGTCAAATGACCGGTTGTGGTAGAAATAGGTATACGACACGTATGATTCGAAAGAAACAAAATGCAAAAAAAATAATAATAACAATGAAATATTAACTGTATATAATGGTTAGAAAAAGTCATGAAGTCAAATGTGCAAAAACGCAAAGATGATGGGCGCATTTTTGATGCAAAATTTCTTTAACCGTCATTTGACCGGTTTAGTGTTAAAGACCTAATTTTCTTTTAAGGGCTCTCATAGCATTTGAAAAATTATTGAAACTGTTACAGCATACGGAATTCTGGATAATAGTACCGTTTTCTTTTATAAAGGTGATATTTTTTTTAAATCTATCTTTTAATTAAAAGTGATTATTACTCATTTATAAACCTGAAATTCGTCCAAAATATGGGATTCTTGTTCCTAATATTGATCTTCACACACACAAGTCTATATGGGTAGAAGAAAAATCTGCTCTAAAGACCAGATTTTATCCCTCAGCCTAAGAACACCATTTGAACATCTGTATTTTTACTAAACTCAATTGAACCGGCGCTTTGGAATATCCAAACTGAAATTAATTTTTTTTAATTATATATTTACTGATTCTACTCAAATGCCAATTGGAGGCATAGTCATTGTCTCGCACAGACGAATTTTTACATTTAAAATATTTTTTTCTTCACTGACATCGATTTTTACCCCACTTTTAAGGTACGTTAGTCTGATTTTTTATCAAAGGAATCATAATAAATAGCCACATTAATATCGCAAGTGCACTGATAGTTAGTTTTGAGTCGATTAGACAAAATCTGAATAAGTTACCGAAATTCAACTTTATTGATCGTAAAATTTAATTGAGATTCTTTCCTTAACTGTGTAAAAGTGTGTGTGCATTTTTATTTCTAATCGATATATTTAATAAATTTTTTTTTAAGAAAACGAAAAGTTTTTACAAAGCAATCAAAAGAATACTCCTTGAAAAAAAAACTTTGCTAACGTACTTGATGTTAATATAACTATTTATTAAGCGAAAAAAATAAGTGGCAGTTTGAGTTAATTGAAATAGAAACGCAGTTCGTTGACTCGTGAATAGACTCACGCTTTCAATGAGAGTTTTAATTATGAGTTGCCTATAGAGGAGAGTTCAACAGTGTTAGAGGATATTAGCGGGATGTTTCCGGTAAGGTGCGTTTCAGAAGATCTTGACCTGATTTCGCTCTCTCTCTCTTTGGGTCAATGGCGGCATTACTTTCGTCAAGGTGATGTTGTTGATTTAGAAAAATTGCGTGATTCGAGATCTCTCCTTCTCTGACAATTAGTAATCAGCAGGTTGCAACTCTAATTTTTCAAGGGGCGTAAACAATTTCTGTATGTCACACTTAAAATTGTTTCTTTTAACTGTAATTTCATGAAAAATAACGATTTAAAAGATAACGAAATTTAAGATTCTGTTTTTTTTTCTCCCAAAAATTTGCCGGAAAACCGTTTTTATTGAAAGCCGGGTTGGAATTTTGTCTGAAAGGATCTATCAGGATACTGGAAAAACTGGGGGAAAAAACCAGGAAGGAAACTAGTTGAAATAAAAAAATGTCCAACGTAATTGTTTAACAATTAAGTATTATACAAAATGGTTTACATTTAAACAAACTAAATTAAATATAAGTTTTCAACAGAATTCTAAAAATCTATATATTACGAGCCAGTTTGAGCAATCATCCTTAGAATTTGATTAATTAGTAAGCTATCTAAAAATAGAGAATTCAATATGTATTTTTAGCAGTGTATATGTTTAGTATCCAATTCGTTAATTGAGTAGCATTAATAAAATTCGATTGTATTATTATTGTAACAGTTCTTTGTGTAATTATAATATTAGATTTTATTATACTCATGCCTATTAAATATTTTCAACAGTTATTTTAATTTCTTAAGACATTTATGAAATTAATTTTTTTCCCTATTGTTGCTTTTAAATTTTCACTTATTTAAAAACGATATAATATATAGCTTGAAAATGAATATTTTTATTTAAACCAGATTGCAGTTATAAACTGTTTAAATTATATTTAAACAGTTTCTAATTGCAATCTGAAACCAGATTGCAAATATATAAACTGTCGTTGTGTTTGATATTTCTTTTTGAAATTTTTTTTTCTCCTTGTCTTCCAATTGGGTTGTAAGAAACCTATTTCCGGGTATTCTGGACAGGGTATTTTATTCGGAAGAAACCTTCCAGGAAAGTGGAAGGTATTGGACGAAATGAAAGAAACTAAAAATGACGCAATTGTTTAGCAATAAGCATAATAGAGAACAGCCTAATCAACCGAGTCAAATTGAATATAATAGTTTGAGAAAGTTTTTGCTATTATTTCTCTTAGAATTTAAAACTCCATCCAAGAGTTGGTTTGAGTATATATTAACTTACTATTTGTAATTGCGAATTAAATATGCGATTTGTTGTACAGTTATTAATTGATGATATTTTTAACAATTCTTTGCAAAATTATGTTTTATAATACTCATTTACGTAAAATATTAAATAATTACAGTTTATTAAATTTCTTTCCGACTGTTTGCTTTTTGGTTTTCACTTACTTAAAAATAATAAATCAATGTCTTGAAATTAAACTAAGATTGCAATTAGTATATCCTAAATGTTAGATGATGGGTTAGATATCCTTTGCCGTCGGGCTAACCGTGCGATGGTTTTGTTGTTTTTCTCACCGTGTAACGCAAGTGTGAATTAGTTTCATCATAAAGCCCCCCAAGTCAAAATATTTGTGTTTTTTTTTCTATTCATGGACCTACATAATATTGATGGTAACCCTCAATTCCTTAAAATCCAAAATGACTTCTCGGAACCAATGGAGGTAAAAAATGGTGTAAGGCAAGGCGATGCTTTGGCATGCCTACTCTTCAATTTGGCATTAGAAAAAATTATCAGAGATTCAGGAATCAATACCAGAGGACATATCTTTCATAAGTCTGTCCAAATTTTCGCATTTGCCGATGACATTGACATCACAGCGCGAACACAATCTGACTTAAAGCAAGCTTTTCTATCCATGGAAAAAAGAGGCAGAAAAAATGCATCTCACTATTAACCAGGAGAAAACCAAGTATATCCAATGCACCAAAATAACTGATTCTACAACTCACTTGCAAATTGGTGAATACAAGTTTGAAAAGGTAAACAGTTTTGTTTATCTTGGTTCTGAAGTCAACGTTAATGGCAATATCGCACCCGAAATACAAAGAAGAATCAATAGTGCAAGTAAATGTTTTTATGGATTAAAAAAATATTTAAAATCAAACCTACTAAAAAGAGATACTACTTTATAAATGCTTAATCAGACCTATCCTAACATATGCCTCAGAAACGTGGACAACAACACAGAAAGATGAGAATTCCTTGGGAATCTTCGAACGTCGGATCCTAAGATCCATTTTTGGGGGCAAACAAGTTGATGGTACTTGGTACAAACGTTCAAACTCAGAACTCTATCCGGCCTTTAGAGAGCCTGATGTTGTCAAGTATGTAAAAATCCAAAGAATTAAATGGGCTGGTCACATCATTCGAATGAACAGAGAGCGTTCGACAAACATAATCTTTTCGGCTCAGCCCATCGGATCAAGACCCAGAGTTCGACCAAAGCTTAGATGGGCCGACTGCGTGGAAAGAGACTTTTCAGTCTTAAAAGTCTCAAACTGGAAGACAACTGCCAGGCGGAGGCAGGCCTGGAGGAAGTTGATTGAGAAGGCCAGGGCCCACTGAGTGCCATTGAGGAAGGAAGGAACCCTCAATTCCATCATGAACCATTATATTTTTTGATTGTAACCAACAGAAGTCGCCATCATCCCAATGTAGGCATTCGAATGGATTTATGATGGTTCAAGATAAGAACTTGTTTTGATGGTTTGTTCATGTTGAACCATCAGAAATTTTCATCATAGTATCTTAGAAATCAAATGGTGGAACGATCATGAACAACCATCACCCCCAACGGACTGATTTTTGATGGGTCAACTTAAAAAGAAATTGCTTTGATGGTATATTCCTGCTAAACCAACAATAATTCCCATTAAACCATTCTGGAAATGTATGGTTGAAACCATCATGGAATGTTGGTCCTTGAGACTCAAACTTTTCTTGATGATTAACCATCATAGTTTTAAAGTAGTATTTTTGTTGGCATATCGAAAACCATGAACGCGTAATAGAAAATGTTGGATGATGGATAACCATCAAATGATGTTGGACTATCATGAATCGCTCTGAAACCAACATAAACCATCAGGAATTTTGACTTGGGTCTCCAATAAAACTAGTTTGTCCCAATGCCTTGTCCAGGAGTCGGAGTTGAAAATGAGAATGCTACGGAGTTACATTAAGTATCGTCGACTCAAAAACGTGTTGGCTGTTCATCGTCGATTACAAAATAAAATTATTTTTTATTTTTTTAAAAAATGCTGTTCTTTAAAAAATATTAGTAATTTCTGATAAAAATCATCATATTTTCAAATTTTCTTTAAAAAAATGAAAGAAAAAAATTAACAAAAAATTATACGTGAAAAAATATCAAATCTGAAATAAAAGCTGAATTTAGGAATATAAAATATTGGAAAGAATTTTTTTCGAGGAGTTTTACAGGTGAACAGTTACTAAACATTTTATAAAATGCATTAAGTGAGCCTTGGTGGCTCAGGGGATATAGCGTTCCCCTTCCAATGAGGTGAACCGGGTTCGAATCCTGGGAATGGCTGGTCGATACGAATTCCGCATCCGGCACGCACCGACCACAGTGCTGACGTTAAATATCCTCAGTGGTAGACGGATCATAGGTGAGAGTCCCCTTGCCCTCAGGCTAACCGTGGGAGGTTTTCGTGATCTTCCTCTCCATGCAATGCAAATGCGGGTTAATGAAATCAAAAAGTCCTCCACGAAGTCAAATTTCTCCCAATACTAGATCCAAAAGTTTCCTTGTCTTCTGGATTGGGTTCACAACTACAAGGCTACGGAATTGAACATTAGTAGTCGTTAACCCAAAAATTAGATCATCTGCTCAGCAACGGTTATAAAATAAAATATATTAAGTTGTGTTTAATGCGAAGCTCTTATTCGAATTTCATTTTAACATTAGATTTCCTACGGTGGAGAAGAACTAAAAATAAGGTGCGTTTTATTTTTCAGGTTATTTCAGAGATGACGTCGGATCGTATGATCACCTTTTCACCACTCTGGGTGTGATGTGCCTCATCTGTTCTCTTCTGTGGCTACTAGAACCAGTATTCAAAAGACTGAAATAAACATTGTGATAAGTATTTCACTTGTGACGGCAAGTGGTGATCATCCTTTATATGTGATAGTTTCTGTTAAATTAAGACAGTATATACGCTCCAATTCTTCCCCATTAAGTTCGTTTGGAGGAGTTGAAACAAAACTGTGTCGTCCAATAAACTGTTCGCGATCTTTTCAACACAGTGAAACTGATTAAAAGAAATGTTCTTTTTAGTAACATAGAATCCCAGGCCAAATTATTTGACGCTCTCAAAGATTCTATGTAAAATTTTAATTATCGTTTGATACTAGACAGCTTTATTGTTCCTACGCGGTTTGTACTTGTTTACGTTCGTGTATCAATTGTTTAAATGAGGCGATATATACTATAAATACCACCATTCGATAAATTAGTCGATATAGTATATAAATATAAAATATTTATTATATCAGGCATTATGTTAGTGTATTTTAATAATTATACCAAATTATTAAACGCACTGTAGTGTTTTAACAATGACATGATTTGCACGAGTTTATATGCAATACTTTTATGTTTAAACATACATGTAATGGGTTTTTATTCAGAAGATTTTTTATATACTTCCTACGTGTATTTATTTTTAAAGTATTGCATTACAATGGTAACCAATTGATGCACAAACATAAAACAAGTGCAAACCTGTTTCAGCCGTGTAAAAACAACAAAGCTGTCACCTGATAATTAAGATTTAACATAGAATCTTATAGTGCGTCTAATAAGTTGGCCAGGGACTGTCATTCGGCTAGTCATGGTAGAATGCCGAATACATCTCAATTTTAAACTTTTTGTCGCTTACGTTGATTTTTCTATAATACACAAATAATAATGCATAATCAGATTGTTTTGGTATTCATCAGTGAAAAAAAAGGAAATGATGAACCCATAGAATCTTTCCGAAATGATCGACATTAGTTTTGCCAGTACTTTTAGAATTTACACTAGATGGCCATGGTGAACAAATGTGACTTTAGTCCACGTCCTCGAAAGATAAAAACGTTTCATACGTTTGATAATTCCACCTCTTTCAATCTGCCAAAAAAAGCTTTTCAATCTAAACTCTCTACAACTGCCTTTTATTCCACTTTCGAATCATTAAACTTTTTGTAAATAGAATAGGCGTTTAGAGGTTACGCCATCTCCCCACTCTTCTGTATGTTACCATGGTTTCTCCCTATTGGAGTACGTTTTCAGTAAGAAGTTAGAATTCACTGGCGCAGGGAAAAAACACTATAGGGGACCGCAGCGCCATCTGGGGAGAAGACCGGTTCCATGTCTTTGGCCCTTCCCATTCCTTCTCTTTTCAGTTATATAGGAATGTAATACGATATTTTTCCTTTTTTTAATATTTTTCGTTTTTAAACGTTAAATATATATTTTTTTAATTTCCCTGACGCTTTCTTTTAGAACTATGTTTAATGTAGTTTTCAGTTCCATATAGTTTCTTAATTTAAAAGATTTTTAATCTACTTGAAAATCAAGAGAGAAACTAACGTACTTCCTTCTTCTATGACTCTNCGCTTTCTTTTAGAACTATGTTTAATGTAGTTTTCAGTTCCATATAGTTTCTTAATTTAAAAGGTTTTTAATCTACTTGGAAATCAAGACAGAAACTAACGTACTTCCTTCTTCTACGACTCTCCACACGCTAATGGTGAAAGCAGGCGATGTGTTGCCATGGGTAGAGAGTTCTGCTTTACGCCACCTGCAGTCTATTTCGATTGCCAATATACCCAAACCGTGGTAATGATAAGGAGAAAGTGAAGAGAGCGGTGAGATCACGTAACATCGAAACACCTATACTATTTACAAAAAGTATCTCAGAGCCTAGGGTNAAAAAAAAAAAAAAATTTTTTTTTTTTTTTTTTTTTTTTTTTTTTTTTTTTTTTTTTTTTTTTTTTTTTTGGACAACCACTATTCTTAAGCCGGTAGAACAATTTTGGAGTAAAAGTAATACGAGTGGTCTCTTTATGGTTTTTTAGAATACGAAATGCGATGATTGGGGAGTCTCATGATAGAAGTAACCCGATTTTTCCTTGAAGTATTCTCAACTCAGTTTGGAGAAGCCAAACAGAGTAAATTGTAAATAGAGCGTGTTTAAGTTTTAATCCTGTGACCACTTATGCTTATTCATCCACTTATACATACCACTTATGCTTCCAAATGTCCACTATTCTTATTCTAGTTGCACAGCTGCTCCAAAACGAAAGGTCTACTGTGCCATCTCCTCCCCCAAAATGCTCCCAGCTACTCCAAAAGCTTTAATATTCATCCAGCAAAAAGCGCAACTTGGATCCAATTTGTTCCCAAAAATCAATTTTGTTGCTTCAAAACTGAAAACAATTTTTCGTTTTTCACTTAAATATCGATAAACATGTTTATTTAGGTGATTATTTTTTTTTATCCTCATTTGAATCGAGCGAGTTTAAAAGTTCATATTACTGAAGTCGAAATGACGCCCAATGNAAATAAGACGATATATCATATAAATTTGACGATAGGATAAATAAGACGATATATCATATAAATTTGACGATAGGATAAATAAGACGATATATCATATAAATTTGACGATAGGATAAATAAGACGATATATCATATAAATTTGACGATAGGATAAATAAGACGATATATCATATAAATTTGACGATAGGATAAATAAGACGATATATCATATAAATTTGACGATAGGATAAATAAGACGATATATCATATAAATTTGACGATAGGATAAATAAGACGATATATCATATAAATTTGACGATAGGATAAATAAGACGATATATCATATAAATTTGACGATAGGATAAATAAGACGATATATCATATAAATTTGACGATAGGATAAATAAGACGATATATCATATAAATTTGACGATAGGATAAATAAGACGATATATCATATAAATTTGACGATAGGATAAATAAGACGATATATCATATAAATTTGACGATAGGATAAATAAGACGATATATCATATAAATTTGACGATAGGATAAATAAGACGATATATCATATAAATTTGACGATAGGATAAATAAGACGATATATCATATAAATTTGACGATAGGATAAATAAGACGATATATCATATAAATTTGACGATAGGATAAATAAGACGATATATCATATAAATTTGACGATAGGATAAATAAGACGATATATCATATAAATTTGACGATAGGATAAATAAGACGATATATCATATAAATTTGACGATAGGATAAATAAGACGATATATCATATAAATTTGACGATAGGATAAATAAGACGATATATCATATAAATTTGACGATAGGATAAATAAGACGATATATCATATAAATTTGACGATAGGATAAATAAGACGATATATCATATAAATTTGACGATAGGATAAATAAGACGATATATCATATAAATTTGACGATAGGATAAATAAGACGATATATCATATAAATTTGACGATAGGATAAATAAGACGATATATCATATAAATTTGACGATAGGATAAATAAGACGATATATCATATAAATTTGACGATAGGATAAATAAGACGATATATCATATAAATTTGACGATAGGATAAATAAGACGATATATCATATAAATTTGACGATAGGATAAATAAGACGATATATCATATAAATTTGACGATAGGATAAATAAGACGATATATCATATAAATTTGACGATAGGATAAATAAGACGATATATCATATAAATTTGACGATAGGATAAATAAGACGATATATCATATAAATTTGACGATAGGATAAATAAGACGATATATCATATAAATTTGACGATAGGATAAATAAGACGATATATCATATAAATTTGACGATAGGATAAATAAGACGATATATCATATAAATTTGACGATAGGATAAATAAGACGATATATCATATAAATTTGACGATAGGATAAATAAGACGATATATCATATAAATTTGACGATAGGATAAATAAGACGATATATCATATAAATTTGACGATAGGATAAATAAGACGATATATCATATAAATTTGACGATAGGATAAATAAGACGATATATCATATAAATTTGACGATAGGATAAATAAGACGATATATCATATAAATTTGACGATAGGATAAATAAGACGATATATCATATAAATTTGACGATAGGATAAATAAGACGATATATCATATAAATTTGACGATAGGATAAATAAGACGATATATCATATAAATTTGACGATAGGATAAATAAGACGATATATCATATAAATTTGACGATAGGATAAATAAGACGATATATCATATAAATTTGACGATAGGATAAATAAGACGATATATCATATAAATTTGACGATAGGATAAATAAGACGATATATCATATAAATTTGACGATAGGATAAATAAGACGATATATCATATAAATTTGACGATAGGATAAATAAGACGATATATCATATAAATTTGACGATAGGATAAATAAGACGATATATTATATAAATATAGAATTTTGTTACACATAGAAAACACATTTTGTTCCGACGGTTTGATTTAAAAAACATTTGTCTAGAGAAACAGTGCTAAAAAATAGCAATTAGGCGAGTTTATTCATAATCATAGAATGTCAAAGGACTGGATTTTGCGCGTTAATTCCTCGTGACCTTCACTCATTTAGATTAAAGAAAAATCTTTGGAAACTCCAGTTTAAAGGCGATTGATGTATTTACCCAAGAAACATATATCATTCAGGATTACCTAAAAATAACAATCCTTGAAAGAACACGCCAAAGAGAATAACAATAAATAGTTACCAATAATATTAAAAACTAAATTTAGGACGAACTCGTTCGAATTTTAAGGAATAAAAATCAAAATTTGAACAAAATGAATGGAGTATTTTGAAAAAAAAACTGCATTTAAAATTTTTATTCGTCTGGAGTAAATTTAATTTAAATTCTTGATTTTGTCACCTAAAACCTCAGCTTTAAATCAATGGCAGAAAATGCGAGCTCAGAAACATGTATAGCTTATGAAGAAGTTAACTTAGAATAAAAATACTTTTTAAAAAAAATTAACTAAACTAATTCTAAACTTAACTAAATTATTTCTTAAAAAAATTATACATTTTAATATTTAGTAATTGTTATACGTGGAGGAGATGCATATCATGAAGGAAAAAAATCCACTCGACTGAAAATAATGAGATTAACCAAAAAAAAACTGCCTAAAATGCAACGTAAATCTTCATTGTAATATCAAAAGAGATTATTTTTAAGTTATACTAAAATTTGTACTCCATATTAGGACTTAGGAAGGCTATTTTCTCTATCTTGTTTCATATTTTCTCTTTTAAAATTCTTAATTTGTAATAGAATATCAAACAGCAGCTTTTGAAATCCACGTATTGTATTGGAGGGAAAAAAAGTTACCTTTTACTGAGCTACGATGCAGCACGTGTTTCATCTGTTCATAATAACTGATATTGGTAAAATTATTGATATCAAAAGTATGAA